GCCACAGCTTTCTCCCTCAGAGTGGCCAGTGGGTTTGAACCACTGACTTTTAGACTTAGCAGCCCAATGCTTAACCCACTGCATCAGCAGTCTCCTTCATCTTGAGTCCACTTCAGCTGCTTATATAAAAATTAAAAGCAAATTGTTTTATGTAGTATATTACTCTCGCTACCCAGAGACTGGAGGCCTCCCTTTTCGATAAGGCTGAGAACCACTGGCCAGACGAGGTTTAGCATTGTGTCACCTGTGCTGACTTGGAGGTCGACAGAACCCCAGGACCTGCTCGTTTTTGACCCAGTAGAGTAAGCACCTGCCAGGGTGACCCTGTGGCTGGCAAGTCCAGGCCACGTGTCCCTGTGCTCTCCCTGAGTGCTGGTGTGGTCCGTCTCTCGGACCCCCATTTGTCTGTCTGTCTTCAGATGGTTCTCTCCTTGTCTCTGTCCTGAAAGAGCTGCCCAGTGTCCCCCTCCCCTCCCCCGCCGTGGTCCCAATAAGACGACTATGTGGCCTCAGCTATGTTGGGGCTGCCCTGTAGAGCCTCAGGTGGGGGCCTTGGCCAGCATGCAGGTGGAGCACACCTGTACAAGGTAACTTCTTAGGGCTCTCACACCACCCACCCTCAGTGCCCCAGGACTCTGCAGGAGGTGGGGCATGAGAACAAGAGGGAGACAGAGAGGGGAAGAAGGGACTGAGAGCAGACCTTTCCTGGGTGGGTCTTCCAGGAGGCCATGGGACCAGGAGACATCCTCCCTCACCCTCACCCTGTGGCTGTCATGGGATAAACACATGAACTTTGTGATCCCGCAGAGCTGTCTGGGTGTGACTGCTGGCTGCTGAGTGCAGTCATGGATGCCTCTAAGCCTCAGTTTACTTGTCAAGTGAGGTGCTGGGAGGCCCGATTCTCAGCAGATGCTCATTAGGGCCATTGCACACCTCTCTGCCCCCTTTCTGACTCCGGTCTCCCGGTCCCTTTGGGGCTACTCTCTCCTGGGCAGGCGGACCAGGGTATTGCTGCTCTGAGCTCGGGCAGCCTCTTGTGGCAATTACGGGTTCAAAGCCCCCTAGCTCTCAGTCACAGGGACTCTTTGGCAGCAGGTATGGGGTGGGTGGGGGTGGGGGGCTGAGACCCTGAAGCATTGCTCTTTTGTCTTTGCTCTTGCCAGGGAACCAGCCAGAGATTTCTGGGCTTGGAATGGACCCGAGGCGCAGGGAGTGAGGTCAATGGTTTACTCAGCAAGATGGCTTGAGTTAGGGATGGACCTGTCACAGCTCCCAGAATTCCTGGCCATGGGCCCTGGCTGCAACACCTCCCCTTCCCGCTCTTCAGGGAGATGATGGAAGGCATGGTGTGGATTTATTTATTGAGGGTCCCTCTGTCAGAGCGGGAGGCAGGAGGAGCAGGCTTATTTTGTCCCCCGCCACTGTGATGGTTGTGCATCCCAGGGCTCACTAAGTACCCGAGGAAACCAAAGCCCAGAATGGTCACAGTGGTACTTAATGTCTCCCAGGCTAGTGTGTGATCAGTTTGAAGCCAGAATTCCTTACTGATGGGAGCCCATCCACTGAGCCTCACTGCCTAGCAGCCTCACCTGTGGTGTGGGCAGGGGTGACTTATGTGTGCATAGAGGTGGCTTTATGGGGCTACTTAACACGGGGTTCACCAAACACCTGGTGTGTATGCAGCATCGCAGTGAACCCTCTCATTTTATCTTGTCGTTTACATCTTACATCTGACCCCATGATGTAGCCTGGCTGGTTTAAATTGAAACCAGTGGTTTACATGTCTTACTACTGAGTAAACTTGATGATTCCTTGGAAGGTGTTTGGGTTTGTCCTGGGGTGGCTTCCTGTGTGCCTGGTCTCCATCCAGTCTCTGGAAGGGATAGATACCCCAATGGGGACTGGAGAACCCATTAAAAGATGGTGGTGAGAAGCAAGCACGTTCAGTTTGGGATTAAAAGTCCCAGTTGCCCTAGAGTTGGTAGGCTTGGTGACCTGTGTGTGTCAGAGTAGAACGATGTTCCCTAGGGTTTTCTTTTGTTGTTGTTCTTACTGTTTTCTTGTTTTAATTTTATTGTGATTGGGTGAAAGTTTACAAATTAGTCTTCCATCAACAATGCGTACACATTTTGTTTCATGACATTGATTGCAACTCCCCACAGTGTAACAGCTTTCTTCCCACTTCCTTCCTGCCTTTGCTGTTCCCATTCCTCCTTCTGAGCCTTGTCCCTGAACATGCGCTCCCCTTTGGTTTCATACACTTAGTTGTGCAGCACAGGGTTTTCAGTGACTGATTTTTCCAAAGGAGCTCACCAGACCTCTCTTCTGAGGTTCCGCTGGGTGGACTTGAACCAACAATCTTTTGGTAAGCAGCCGGTCATGCTAACTGTTGGCACTAACTGGGAAAATGGATGGGGGAGCTCCTTTTGGCTTGAGAAGCAGCTTTGGAATGAGGGCCCAGAGAGGAGGAGGTTGGGGTCACATTTCCAGTGACTCAGGACTCAGAATCCCATTCCCATCCCTCAGGGAGAGGCTGATGGGTGGGTAAGTTTTGTGACTAGTACACATGCACACCCATTCAGCCTTATAGAAGAGGCCTGGTTGGGAGTGGGGCAGGGAATGGGTGCTACGGAGACCCAGCACTGGGGTCCTGTCCACAAAGACTTTGTAGTCTAGCAGGAGAAACAAGAGCAAAGCATCACCACAAAAAAGGTGTGGCTCCTAGAAGCTCAGAGTGGTGGAGTTGGGGGAGCCCAGAGCAGGAGGCTGTAGGGACCAAGCGTGATTGTGGCTGTTGTCATTGACTCGGTTCTGACCCATAGCAACCCTGTGTAGGGTTTCTAAGGAGCAACAGGTGAGCTTGAACTGTCGACCTTGCAGTTCAAACCAACTTTGCAGTCCAGTGCATGAACCACAGTGCCACACCAGGATTCCATTGTTGTTGAGTGTCATCAGATCAATTCCGACTCATAGCGACCCTGTATAGGGTGTCCAAGGAGCAGCTGGTGGGTTTCACCTTGTGATTTGTGGTCCAGTGCTTATCCTACAGCATCACACCAGGAACTGATGTAGCTAACAAGGTAATCAAAAGAGAGAGGCAAGCCTTGGGGAGAAGAACTGGGTGAGACTTAGAGACCAGTTCGATGCAGGAAGGGAGAGGAGGGTTGAAGCCCTGGTGATTCTTTTAGAAGAACCGGGAATCCTGATGGGAGTAAGCCAGTGGAAGTGGCCTGCCCCCGCCCCCCCCACCAAGGTCTCTCCAGTGGGTATTGGGGGCTCTGCTCAGGCTAGTGACTGACCAGTCCTGAGAAACCCACCAAGTGCTCCAAAGGACCAAACTGTCAAACCTGCTGTCCAGGTCTCTGCATGGCAGTGATGAGAAAGGGTGAGGGGGCCCCAGAAACCACCCTATCTGCCACTGATCACCTGACTGCCCACATCCGGGATTCTGGGAGTGAATTGGAGCAGATTTGGAATAGCTTGGAATTTTTCTAGCATGTGGACCACCTAAACTCTAGACTATGGGTCTTGTAGTACATAAACCCCGTTTTTCCCATTGTAAGACTGTGAAATGGACTTGGAGTGGAGTGTGGACTTGATCTTGAAAGTCCAGAATGACCCAAGAGCTTGGTGAAATGTCTAGGGTGTCCTGGGCCCTTGGGGGAAGGGATAAGTGCTGGACAGCCTGGACAGGCCTCTGGCTATGGCTGAGGGCAGGCCTGTGGAGGTGGCCCACCTGCCACTGCCTAAACTCCCGGGAAACCTGGGTAGAGAGGCCCTGCCTGACCCCTAGGGTGACCTCTGGTGTTGCATTACAGCGTTTATTCTCTCAGTTCTCTGGTTACCTGGGCCTGGGCCCTTGGGCACAAGCCAGGCACCCAGTCAAGATAGCAACCCGTAGGCATGCCCCACCTAGGTTGTGTCAGGCTTTGCAGGAAGGGACCAGTCAGCAGACAGGAAGCCACCCCCAACCCCATGACACTGGAGGGAGCCCCAGAAAGACACACGCCTTGGTGACCAAAGGACAATCCCACCTCCCCGCAGGCCTTTGGGCCTGCTCTCAGGCTTCCTGTGAGTTACCCCCAGCCCACACTTCCTTGGGGCGGGAGTTTAAGATTGTTCCTGTTGAGTGAGTGAGGCATGAGTCAGCGAAGGAAGGAAAGAGCCACGGCTGAGTCTTCCTAACCTCCAGGCATGGCTATGAAATATTTAAATGACACTATAGTATTGATTGGGGCATATCCTTCCCCTGAGGGGGTCAGATCCTGTCTGGGATTCAGACTGTAGTGATTGCTTGGATTAGCAACTCCCAAGAGCTGTCAGGACTACTATAAATCTCTCCTAGAAAGGCATTCTCTCCTCCCCAGAGCCTACTACCAGGAGTTGGGGACAGATTTCACCTGGAGAAGTCAGAGTTCTGTGGATGAGTAGCCATCTGGCCTGGAATTGTGGAAGCCCAGCTCCTACCTGGTTTTGGCTCTTTTTTTCTGCTCACTGCTCCTTCTCTGATGTGCTCCCCCTTCCTCACAGTGCCTCTGTCATTTACCCAATCTTTCTAGCCACTGGGGACATGGCATCCAGCAAAACACACAGGCCCCGGCTAGTCTCTGGAGTGGAATTCTTGGAGAGGAGTTGGTCAGTTGACAAGAATCCAAATTGGCAGGGTCAGCCCCTCCAGGAGCCCACGTTCCTGGGCTGGGTCTCACTACATGAATTTTACCTCTCCTTTGAGAGCAGATAAATATACCCAGCTCCCCATTCCTGGGGAGTTACTCACCCAGTAAAAGCACCCCGTCGCCACTGAGGATTAGATTACCTCTGCTCTTCCTGGGCTGAGGAGGGGCTGGGAAGGGATAGAGACCCAGGGACCAGCCTTCCTGCCCATCAGCCTCTGCTCTCCTTCCTAATCTGGAAGAGTCTCACCCAAGGGACCCGCGTGAGAGGCCCCAACTGTCCAGTGTTTACACGGCTCACGGGTTCTCTGAGCTTAGGTGGCCGTCATGAGTCGCTGCATCTCCCCTGTCACCCGGGGCCACCCAGCCCGTCAGGGACTCAGCAGAGAGGCCCCAACTCTCCTTGTCCCTAGTTCTGAGCCCAACAGAATGGGCTGGCTTCTGCGGACTCCAGGAAGGGGACCTTGTTGAAATGGTGGAGATGCACCCTGGGTTGTCAGGCAGGCCCCTGGGCCATGATGGTCCTTTGTTGCCTGTGGTGGTTGCTTTCTCTCATCCTTGACTGTTAGCTCCTGGGGGGCTGTACCAGCCCCTGCCTGGGTCGAGGAGAGCTGAATTGAACAGGCTTGCCTGCTGGAGAAGATGGGTGAGCTGACACCGGGCAAAAAGATTTTGTTCTTACTGTGGACCAGAAGTCCCTGGGTGGTGCAAATAGTTAAGCAGTGCTCAACTACTAACTGGAAGACTAGATCCCACCCCCCCTCAGAAGTAGCTCAGAAGAAAGGCCTGGCAGGCTGCTTCTGAAAGGTCACAGCCTTGCAGACTCTCTGGAGCAGTTCTGCTCTGCACACTTGGGGTCGCCAGGAGTAGGAATCTACTCTTTGACCAGTGTGGAGATGGCTGCTCCCTGTAAGCTCTGGCCCAGGACCACAGCATGTCTAGTCAGGCCTGGGGCTGCCAGATGAGTTTGCAGTGGCAGTAGTGGGCCTGAGCCTGGAAGGAAGCCCCTGAGCCTCGGGAAGAAAGAGGAAGCTGGCATTGACCTTGCACTGACCTGCCCCGGGCGTGGGCTTGGAAGTAGAGACTTCGCTGGTTGCAGTTGCAGTGGTGTTCCTTCCTGCTGGTCTGGGACTAGACTATAACCTCCTTTGCCCTTAGGGGTGAGGTGGGAGAGACTGAGCATCTCTCCGGAGGGCACAGCGCCCATCTGCTTAAACATGTCTCTCCTGGCCTTTCCTGAGTGGAGGCTCCATTCCAGGCCGGTGTGTTAAGTAGACCTTTATGTGCGTTTAGCCCATCCTGCTGGGATTAAAGGAAGTTCTCTGTTGGGCTGCTTACCTCAAGGTTGGCAGTTCAAAATCAACCAGGCACTCCTCAGAAGAAAGATGACGCTTGGCTGTTCACATAAAGATGTACAGCCTTTGACACCCCAAGGAGCAATTCCATTCGGTCCTATAGGATCACCGTAAGTTGGAATCGACTCAGTGCCAGTGAGTTTGGTTTTTTGGGCATGCTGCTGTTGCTGTCGATTTCGACCCATAAAGACCCTGTATAGGGTTTCCAAGTAGCAGCTGATGAGCTTGAACCACCAACCTTGCAGTTCAAACGACTTTGCAGTCTGATGCGTTAGCCCATAGTGCCATACCAGGACTCCTTCTGGGCATAAGCAGGGGGACTTCCTATTTCACGAACAAGGAAACTGAGGCACAGATGCTGTGAGCAGCTTGCCCCGGCAGCTCTCAGTGGCTAGTTCTCTGTCCTGTGTCCCTACAGCCTGAATGGACGGTCATATAGTTCCACCACTTTCTCTACATGCACCCCCAGCAGCCCCTCAGTGCAGGCAATCTTGAACTATCCTGGATGGCCTTTGTCTTGGCGTCTGTCCAGCTCAGCTCCCACAGTCCACAGTGAAGCCCTAATAAGTGGCCACAGTTTGGAGGTGAAGGACGCCCGGCTTGTGAAAGATCCCTGACCTGTTTTTGTGATGTGACTGGGATTGAGGGTTGAAGGGATCCACTCATTTCCATTTAATCTGTAATAGCCCCCTACATTGAGGCTGTCTGCAGACCCCAAACTCTGCCCTACGCCTCTGGGCTGATCTGGGCAGTAGCGCTGCTGGACAGAGAGCATGGAGGGGTACAGTTGTGGGTTTTGTCCTGGAATGTGGCCAGACCGGCCTCTCAGCCCCCTGCCTACCTGACTGGACAGCAGATTAGGTTGGGTGTCTGCATCTTAACCCCCTTGAGGCCCCAGGCCAGGCTGCCTCCATCCAGCCCCAAGGATTCCACTGGACCGACTGTTGGCAGTGGGAAGTTAGTGTGGGCCTTGCCCTGGCTGTGGAATGCAGGAGGCAATGGCGTGAATCCCCGGGTCCTGGGAGCAGCTCCCGCACCCTGTGTTCAATTCCTGTGTTCCCAGCATGACCCTGAGGCCTTGTGCCCTGTGCTCCTCCTTGTAGCTTGCCCCGTCCCTCCTGCTCATCTCAGCTTACTCTGCCTTGAATATACTACTGTGCATTGGTTGTCTGGGGTTCACTGGTCTTCCCCCTGCTTCAAAAATTCCATGATTTGAGGAGGTTACTTTTGGTTACTTTTTGCTGCCTGATGCCTGTGGGACAGTAGTGCCCCCTGGTGGATGCTCCTTACTCCTTCCGTTCCAGGGCTCTGTGGTCTTTGCCCCACCGGGCTGTCCACACACATGTGGCCTGGTCCTGTCTGTGACCTTGGCCTTCCCTTGGTTGTGGATGGGAGAGCCAGGCTGGGCCAATCAGCTCAGAGAACTTTCCTTCCCAAAAAAAGTTGGGGGAACCCCTGGAGAGCAGCTCTTGCTGGGAGTGTTGGATAACTCTGGAAGCTCTGGTCTGATCTAAGGCTCTCAGGCCTGGACCCAGAGCCTCAGTGATATTTGGAGTCTTTCTAAGCATGAACGAGGCACCCCCACTGTTTTCAGGCAGCATGTGCCAGAACATGCTAGAGGAATGGGCATGTTTGTGGGTTTGCAGCACTCTGGCAGACACCGTTTTCTCTGAGTGTGGGTTGCCTGACACCTTCCTTGGGGTATGAGAACGGTTTTCTGTGTATTTAGAGCTGGGTGCAAGGAGGTTGCTGGAGTTAAAAACTGGGTGACCTTGCACCTCTGGGTTGGTGCAATGCCTGAAAGCATTCGCTCTGCTGCTCTTTAACGTGGCTATAGCTGTTTCCTGAGCCAGGGAGGAGTTCATTTGGCGGCCAAGGAGACTTTGGCCTGTAATCATTTTGTAACCTGCAGGGAGATAGTGGGAGTCTGCACCCATGGGAGTCCCGGGCTGCCTCGTACATTCCTGACTTCTTTCCAGAGGGACTTGGGGGGAACCCTGGAGGCAGTGACCCTTAAGTCCTGGCCAGGTTATTAGGCAAGGACTTGGGGCAGAAAGAGAGGAGGAATTAACAGACTGCTAAATTTAAGAGACCCTGTGACTTGTCCCCCTCTGTCATTCAGATAAAGCTTAACAAAACAAAACTGAAAGGCCTTTTCCCTAATGCCTCTATGTATGTTGTTGTTAAGAGTCCTCGAATCAATTCCAACTCAAAGTGACCCTGCATAGGGTTTCTGAGGAGTGACTGGTGGGTTTGAACTGCCGGCCTTGCAGCTCAAACTGACCTTTGGTCCAGCACATTATCCTACAGTGCCATACCAGAACTCATATGAGGGGGCTTTTAAAAAGTTTGTGGGAAAATGGAATGAAAAGATAATAGAATTTTTCCATGAACTTTTGGAAGCACTTCCTATTTTCTGAGTGTGACTTTTTCCTCTTTTCTCTTCACTATTGTCTTTCTCGTGTGTTATCCAGCTCTGTGAGACTTAGGAGCTAAGTCAGTACTTTGCTTTGTACCCTTTTCTCTTTAAAGGAAGCTCTTTCTTTCTTTCTGATTCTTGCACAACAAATACAACCATTGTTTGTAGTTTCCCATGCACTTTAACATCTGCTGTCATGTATAAATAGTCCATGAGAGGCAGAATTGGTTTCCACTTGTCTTTTAACCAGAAAAATGGACAATTCAAACCCACTTGTGTGGCAGAAGAAAGGCCTGGCAGTCTTGCTTCCCTCAAAATTCCAGCCAGGAAAATCCTAGGGAGAACAGTCCTGCTCTGCAACACGTGGGGCCGTTATGGGTCAGAAGTGACGCAACACTATCAGGTTTGGTTTCATTTGGGGGTTTTTTGTCCATGTCTGTGACATAGGAGCTTTCACCCTTGCTTACCAAGGACAGTGAGACTCAGAGAGTTAAACAATTTGCTTTGTGGTGATAGAGTTAGAGTAACTGGGACTTGGATTCAGGTCTGACTCCGACTCCGACTCCAGAGCACCCCCACTGGCCAGTCGTTCTACTGACAGTATCCTCCAGTACTGAAAAGTACCTGCTGGGTTAGTAAACTAGCTAGACTGCACTTAGACTCACACCAGGGGTGATGGGGTGAGGGTAGGTGATATAGAATCAGGTCCCACAGGGAACAGTCACACTTGTCTTCCACTGAGTGCTTTGGAGCTCAAGGCTCTCAGAGTGATCCCTAAAACCAGTTCTGGTAATGTGGGGGCCAGGCATGGTCTCTCTGAGCCTCCGTTTCCAACTGTTGTGAGAATCCAGGAAGTTGACAGTGGAAGCACCCGCACCGCTGTTCAGGGGCTGTGTTTAGGAGCTTCTTGATGTGGGGAGCCCTCTGCGCATGGTGGAAATGGAGGGACTCTGCCATTGCTGGCCTGGACCCAGAGGAAATGGAGGCAGTGTGGGGCCAAGCAGCAGGTGGGGCTGTGCAAGGAACACTGGGATTGGCCCTGGACACAGGTTCCTCTTCCGCTGTTACCTAGCCACCGGAAGACTACCTCTAGTTCCTGTTCACTGGAGTAGAGGAAGTCTCCTCCCAGGGAGCTGGAGGGGGAGGGGGGCTGCAGGAACTGATCCTACAAGGAAGTCAGGAGACCTGCACCTGGCAGCTGGCCTTTGGGTAGGTGTGGCATGGCAGGAGCTTGGGACCATCTGGGCAGGAGCCTGGGGTAGGTGTGGCAGGCCTTGAGGGTTTGAAAGTCTGGAAGAAGGGGTGGTCCTGAGACCAGGGCCCTTCTGTGGTAACCCTCAGAGCCCCGGCTGCAGTCCCAACATTCAGGAAGTTGTGCCATTTAAATGTGGCATCATCTTGGGGTTAAATGTGGCATCATCTTGGGGTACAGCCACCACTGCAGGCTGGCTTTTGGTGTCTGAGACTTTTAGAGGAGACTGGCATGCTATGTTATTTCGGGAGGCCTTTTACCATTGAGCTGCTAACCTCAGGTTGGCCGTTCAAACCTACCATCCGCTCTTTTAGAGAAAGACGAGGCTGGCTGCTCCCATAGAGATTAACATTCTCTATGAGTCAGAATTGACTTGACGGCAGTGAATATTTGGTTCATTTCTTGAGGCCCATCTTCTCATCTGTAAGGCGGGGCTGGGATCAGAATTCCAACTTCCGGAAGTGTTAGGAGGATTCACAGAGGTTTTGTGCCTCCCTAAGGGTGGGGGTTCCCTAAGCCTCCAGGTCCCGTCTAGGCAGCCACAGTGAACAAAGCTGCAGGCATGTAGGAATGGGGCGTGGTATTGGGCTGAGTTGCCTGGGCTGTGGGCTATTGAGGGTCCTAAGAGGGGAGGGCAAGGTGGGAGGTGGGCACAATTCCCTCCTGCCCCTCCAGGCCTGGGGACAGGGAGATCCAGGCCTGCCCTGTCATTGTAATGGAAGTGTGTACTCTAGGCTGGTTCGGCTCCCTCGAGCTGTTTAAAAGCTCAGTGGTGGGGCCCCGGAGCCTCTGGGGCCAGGCTGATTGCCAGACTTCTGCAGAAACAGCCAACAGAGCAGTCTTGCCCCATCTAGGCCGAGGGGGTGGGGACCATAGCACCGGCCTCATTCCAGCCCCCCTTCCCATACACATCACCCTACAGGCAGAGTCTGGGGAGCAGCTCAGAGGCAGGGGCCAGCTTCCATTTGGTCAGAAGGGCAGAAAGCACCCCAGGAGTCACCTCAGCTTGGGTGCTGGGAACTTAAGCAAGGGCCTGGTACTACCTGGGTGCAACCCTGTGTTGTGGGGCTCCTCCCACCGCTGCTTTGCACTGACTTGTGGAGATAGAGTACCAAATTGCAGGCGGGTGTTTCTCCCTTGCTGCCAACTGGCTGCCCGGCTAGGTGCCCAGCTCCCTGAGGTAGGGTGCTCCAAGGAGTCTCCAGGCATTGCTGGTCTGGGGTGGGCAGAAGGGCTGGTTCTTCCCTGGCTTCTCTGGACAGGTGTGTGCCTGGCCCAAGGCTGGTCATTTTTTTGGTGGGGCAGGTGTTGTGAAGTCTTTCATTCTAGGTGCAGGCAGGGTGGCACTGCCTTTGGTCAGATTCCAAGGTCCCTGGTTCTGACCCCGCCTTTTCTTTGCAGATGCCTTGCTGGCAGACTTGGAGTCCACCACCTCCCACATCTCCAAACGGCCCGTGTTCTTGTCTGAGGAGACCCCCTATGCATATCCAACTGGAAATCACACCTACCAGGAGATTCCCGTGCCACCCCCGGTCCCCCCACCCCCGTCCAGTGAGGCCCTCAATGGCACCGTCCTGGACCCTTTAGACCAGTGGCAGCCCAGTGGTCCCCGGTTTATCCACCAGCAGGTAAGATGGGGACACAAAGATTGGGGAGCCCCCAGAAGCTACAGGGGTTTGGGAGTCTCTGGAGAAGTGGAATTGGGGAGTTGGGAGTGACTACCAGCCATGCTCAGCACCCCCATGTGATGCAGTTCTTCCAGCTACCACGTGAGGCAGGGGGGTGGAGGGCGGTGAGCCAAGTCTTAATCACCAGTCTTCTAGCCAGGACGTGGAAACTCCCTGGTGAGACTGGCTGTGAGCAGGTGCCTCCTGGGGGTGACTCGAGGCCTCTGTTCTTTGGGGCAAGCCTCTACCCCCCTGCTTCAGCATCCTCCTTCCTGCAGCCTCCTTCCCCATCTTCCGTGTCTGTGTCTGGCTCCAGTGCCCCCATCCCCCAGAGCAGTCTCAGCTCTCCGTGCTCCCGAGTGGGTGAGGAGGAGCACGTCTACAGGTATGTGTGTCCCTTTGGCCCTCCCCATCCTCCAAGACACCTGCTTCGTCCACTGGGTAGTGCTGGGCAGAGCGGGTGGCTAGGGAGCAGGCAGGGCCAATGCCTCAGGGTCACTGGGAAGAGGCGTCCAGCTCTGTGGTACACACGAGGAACTGAGGCAAGGCTTCCTTCCTGCCCTGCATGTAGACACATCACTTCCTTTCCCCTCTGCCCTCCTCTCCTGGAGATCTCACTCATGGTCCCCTTTCTCTTTGTCCCTCCAAGTTTCCCCAACAAGCAGAAGTCGGCTGAGCCTTCTCCCACCGTGATGAGCTCCTCCCTGGGCAGCAACCTCTCAGAACTTGACCGCCTGCTGCTGGAGCTGAACGCCGTGCAGCATAACCCCGCCGGCTTCCCTGCAGGTGGGACTGGGCTCCCTGGGCTGGGGCCCACTGCCGTCTTCTGGGTCCCTGAGGGCTTCAGGACTCAGCAGCCTTTTCCTCCCCTCTAGATGAGGCCAACTGCAGCCCTCCATTGCCTGCGGCCCTGAGCCCACACTACGGTGTCCCGGAGAACAACACCCCCCTGGGAGGCAAAACTGGCCCCCTGACAAAAGAGAAGCCCAAGCGGAATGGGGGTCGGGGCCTGGAAGACGTGAGACCCAGTGTGGAGAGCCTTCTGGACGAACTCGAGAGCTCTGTGCCCAGCCCCGTGTGAGTATCTATGGGCGCTCTGCCCCTGCACAGTACCTACCCAGTTATCCTGTGTGAGCACCCACGGGCTCCCACCAGGCAGGTGTGGGGCCTGCCCAGCTCTGTGAGTTTCCACTGGCTCCCCACCCCCGTGCATCGGCCTGGTGCCATCTATTATCTTTGAAAGTGGCTGCTGTTTGGGAGACCCTGAGGGAGAGAGATGAGGCAGTGTGCTTCCATAAAGACATACAGTCCCCAGGGAGCTGTTCTCTACGGAGTCAGCTCAGCGGTAGTGGGTTTGGGGGTTGACACCAGGTGTGGGGTGAGTTTCAGTGCATTATCCCTGATGCTACGGAGCTACTCACATCAGAAAAGACAGACACAGTGTGAGCTGAAAGCTCCTCAAGCTCTGTGGTGAACAGCATACCCTGGTTTCCAGTTTTGACTGCGCTTCTTATTAAATGTGTTCTGTGAAGACTTAGTTTCCCCATCTGTAAAATGGGGATAAGACTGCCTGCCTACCTAGGAGGGTTAAATCAACAATACAAGTAAAGCCCTTGGAATGTTGTCTGGAAAACGGCACAAGTACATTTGGTCCATCTTAGTGTCTGCTCCTCTGAGTAACCAAATCACGTGACTAAGAGTCCTCACACCTGTGTGCAGGGTGGGGACATTCACATAGGGCCTTGCTCAGTGGGGGCTTGCTGGGCCAGGGACCAGGTTATGTCATCTTAGAGCTCTGACCCCTCCAGGGTCAAGTCCTCAAGGGAAAGTAGGAGCTGGTGAGCTCCCTCCCCTGAGATTGGGAGAGGAGGAACCCCAGTGTCAGTGGAGAGGGGCCCCTGCTGATGGTGCCCCTGTTCTGCAGCCCCGCCATCACTGTGAACCAGGGTGAGATGAGCAGCCCGCAGCGTGTTACCGCCAGCCAGCAGCAGACACGCATCTCAGCCTCCTCGGCCACCCGGGAGCTAGATGAACTGATGGCCTCACTGTCGGATTTCAAGGTGCTCTGTAGCCCCTCTCTGCCCCCATCTTCTCCTTCCTTGTCTCACTGTGAGAATCGGGTGCCTCGCCGGTGTATGGGGAAGGGAGACCAGGCTACGTGGGGTCATGCTGGCCCAGCCGCCCATGAGAGCAAGCAGCTCTCAGCAAGGACATTCCTGCCTGCCTGGGTGCTCCCAGCCAGTGTGAGGTTGCGGTTACTGGGGGTGGGCATTCCTGGCGGGCTCTTGTGGGGCTGGGTCCCGTGCCTTGGAGGCCATTTGCCCTGGAGTCCCATCTCCCACTCTGGCTGTTCCTCAGCACGTCCTTTTTCTTTCTGCCTCCCACCTCCTGCATCTATGAGCCTTCTTTACCACCTCCATCCCATCTTCCCTCCATGCCCCACGTTCCCACCCTGTCAGGCTTCCAGGCCAGTCCTGCCTGAGCCCTTCTTGCCCCTCAGCTCCTGGTTTCCCCAGCCTCACCAGACCAAGATGTCTTATTTAGATGGGGGAGCATCAGGCAGCAGGGCCTCCATGAGGATCGATACTGACAGAGCTCTCTGGCAGTTGCTGACTTCAGCCTTCCTCGTGGGCCTGATGTAGGGAAGATGAGAAGGGCAGCAAGCTGGCTGAGTGCTCTTGGCCCTGATGGTGCCTTCTAGCTTTCCTCTCATGGTGGACGGTGGGCACAAGGCTGGGGGAGGCATTGATTATTGGCTTGGGACTCTTGGGTCCTAGAGCTCCAGCTTCCTGGCACAGGATTCAGAGTAGACACAGTCAGGAATCAGTAGGTTGGGTTCTATTGTTGGTCTCTGGGAGCCCAACCCTGATGCCTGCGGGGGGCTTCCTGAGCTGATCAGCGTCTGAAGCCCAGGGGGAAGAAGCTGCTCTTAGCAGAGCCCAGAGCCAGGGCCTGTGTGCAGGGAAAAATTGGAAGCATCTGTATGACATACAGACAAGGCTCAAATCAAGGTCTGAAGAGGGCAGGGCGGCCACCTGGTCACCTGAGTTCCCAGCCTTTTCCCCTTGCTTGTCTATCTCACCATGTCCACTCTGGTTGGGCCTAGGCTGGCCCCAGAGGTAAACCCTCCATACTTTAGCTTCACAGCCCCCTTCAGCTAATGCACAGACTGGCTCTCTCAGCAGCCCCGGGCCAGCCCCGTGCAGTGAGCATCCTGTCTTACCTCTCCCCTCCTCTCTCTTCCTCTCCTCTCTGCTTTTTGTCTCTCTCCTCTTCCAGACCAGCTCCTCGGCTGTGACCCTGAGCCCCCCGGGGCCACTGCTCTGCTCAGCTTCATCCCCACCCAGCACACTTCCTTCTCCTCCTCTTCCTCCTCCTGAGCCCTCTGTTCTCCTACCGCCTACCACCAGACCTTCCTCCCCAGGCTGTGGCCACGCCCCAGAGGTCCTGTGCATTGAGGGCAATGACAAGGGATGGTACCTTGGATCTCCTGTGTCCCCTAGTGATCTTAGGGGGATGCTGGAGCCCTCCAGCTCAGGGGCTCCCTCTGTAGAAGTTTCTCTGGGGCCCCTTGGTGCAGAGAGTCAGACTCAAGTATGGAGGAATTTAACTCTAGACATACAGGACTTTAAGGGGGAGCTCTCCAAGGCTCCCCTCTGTCATACTCCACCCTGCGCTGGAGAGCCCCAGGGGCGGCCAGCTTCCGAGGCTGCACACGCCTTCCAGGAGGTAATTGAGCCAGTCGTGGTGGCTGTAGAGCGGCAGGCCATCTTTCCAGATATGTGCCATCTCCCAAAGGAGTGTGGGAAGTGGCAAGAGAAGGCTAGGCCAGAGCTAGGACTCTTAGAAGGGGGCTGCCCTGTCCCAGGTGAGAAGCAGCAGCGAGGCAGAGAGATGCCCAAGAGGGGTGGCCTGATGGGGCCAAGCCAGGGACCTCCGAGCTCAAGGAGTCTAAAGGGCGCTGCAAAGGTGGTTCCCGAGGCTGGCCAGGAGCAGATGGAGCTTCCACCGGTCACGGCCCTGGACATGCCTGACACCGCGGAGAGGATTTCCACCTCTGGCCAGGCAGGCACCAGCTTGCATGGCCGTTGCGCTTGGCTCTTGGCAGGCCTGGCCCCTGCTGTGTCTCTTAACTGCATGCACCGTCCGCTTCGTGCATGTCTGCTGGGCAGAACATCTGGAGACCCCCATGGCCCCATGGCTGCCTCCCAGACCGTCATTTGTCTGGACCCTGGGATCTCCTCCTGCTCGTTAGAACAGCTGCCACTCATGTCCTGGTGTGCGTGCGGTGGATGAAAGCATGGGCTTTAAAATTGAAGAGACCTGGATACAAACCATGTCACCCTGCCTCAGTTTTCTCATCTTTAAAATGGGGGTAATGATAGAAGGTCGTCCCCCCCCCCCCCCAAGGTTGACCAGAGGATGAATTGAGATCAGGCCTGGGACATGCGTGGAACAGATGACAGCTGGCATAATGATAAGGTTATGATTTGGTTCTTGCTGGATTCAAATGTATATCCTTCTAGAAGCAACCAAAACAAAACACTATCAGCAAGCCAACTAGAAGCTAAAGCATTCACATGTCAAAACAAGACCTGGTTAGATGCTTTCCTGGAAGAAAAGACTGTCTTTCCTATTGTAAATCAGAGAAGAAAAGAAAGAAGTGGTGTCCCTTTTAAGACCTTCCAGTTACATCCTCTTAAATAATTTTTGTGGTAAGCCTGTGAGCTAGACCAAGAAGGCACTGTTGCCCCATTTTCAGGATGGAGAAGCTGAGGCCCCTGGAAAATTCAGTGTCTCTCAAGGCCTGCACTCCCAAGGAGCCTGCTCTGCTCTGGTCTCTCTCTGGCCCCCTCCCCGTGCCTCCACCATCACCTCAGCTTGGCTCTTCTCTGGCCTATTTGCCTGCCTCCCCCTCCCCCTGCCAGGCCACCAGAGTGGACCTGTGACAGCATCCCCTCCCCACCCTTCAGATTCGCTCTGTGATCAGGAGGAGCCGGGAGACGGGCCACGCACACCCCATGTCCCGGGAGCCCTCCCCCCGCCGTCGGCTGGACCCCGCCACCCTGAGCCGGACCCCCTCCCAGGAGCGGCTCATCGAGGAGCTGCAGGGTCGGCTGGGCATCCAGCCGGAGGCAGAGGCAGCTGCAGTGGCGACGGGGCCCTCGGAGGACAATTGGCTGACGGAGGGCATCGTCATCACTGTGCAGCCGCGCGGGAGGCGGGCTGGGGGGCAGCTTGTGGAGAAGGTAGCAGGGTGCAGAGCCAAAGCCACTGGGCCCCCCCACCCGCTGGAGGGGAGAGGGTCTTGGTGCTGGGAGCCTGGGGACACCACCTCTGGCTTGCTCACTGAGCTGCTTCCTTCTGTCTTCCTCACTGCTCCTCCTCCTCCTCTCTCCCCAGGTTGTCTTCCCTCCTGACTCTCCTGCCCCCCTGAGAAGAACCTCCTCTGTCTTGGCCTCTCCTTCTCCTCCTGTCCCTTTACTTCAGCAGCAAAAGGACGTCTCAGCCAGCAGCTCCTCTCCCTTCCCCAGCCTGCCTGCCCCGTCTCCACTAGGACCCTCCACTCTTATCCTGGACTCTCCTGGCTTCCCAAGCACGGGGGACAGTCCCACGCTTAATGAGACGATGCAGGTCCCTGCCCCTCCCACTCCAGTGTCCCACACAGCGAGGCCCACCCTGAGGTCCGTGGGCTGCCAGACCGACGAGGACCCGCTCTTCCCCCCGATGCAGGCAGGCTTCCCCAACCTGAAGCTCCCTGAGCCTCCCACTCCAACCTTGGGCCACATACATACTGGCCACCCCAGTGCCCTCCATCCATCAGCCCCTAAACAGTCCCCACAGTCATGCTTGGGTTCTGGACTTCACTGATGCCTATGCTCCCTCCCTGGGGTCAGCTCCCCTCTGCCTGCTTCTTCCCGACAGCCCCTGGGCACTGCCCTGGGCTCCTATCCAAGAAGGCCAGGCCTTCCCCGTTTATCCGCAGCCCCTCTCCAGCCCCGGCCCACTGCCTAGAGTCCTCTGTCCTGTCCCCAGCTCGCTTCTCCTGACCATTGGCCTTGGTGGGCTCCCCTCCCAGTCCTTCTCCATCATCTCTCCCTGGGCATCTCTCTCTGGGCTGTTCTCTAGGTCTCAATATTGCTGGTGGGGAAATGCCCTCTTTTCTCATCCAAAGTTCCCTATGGTGAATCAATTCAATGACAAATCCTCTTATTCTTTCTTCTTTGATTTTTAAAAACGTTTTTATTCTCTTCTCTGCCTCCATTTAAGATCCAGGGCCTGGAGCAAAGAACAGACGCAGAGCTGTGCTGGGTGGCCGGCTGGGCTCCGGATGACAGGCAGAGCAGTCCAGGGCAAGACAAGGGAGGGGTCAGTGCTGAGACTGAGAGCCCAGCTTCTCCCCAGGCTTGTTGTGCCAGGGCTTGGGCATCCAGCTGGCCACCATGACGAGATGTGCCGCTCGCTAAGGGAGCAAGCCCTTCTGACCCTCTGTCCATCTGGATTCCCTCCAACTCTCTGTTCGTCTTCTGTCTCGTGCCCCTCTGACATCTTTGGTCTCGTGGCCTGACAGTTTAGGCCTCTAGAGGAGGTGGCTCTTCCTGCCTCAGTCATCTCATCTGACCAGGAGGGACACAGCCTGGCTCCCAAGTCCTGACCGACCTCTCCCTGTCTCCGCAGTTCATGGCCCAGGGGAGGGCTGGGAGCAGCTCTCCCCCTGGGGGCACCCCAAAGCCCGGAAGCCAGCTGGACAGCATGCTGGGAAGTCTCCAGTCTGACCTGAACAAACTGGGGGTGGCCACGGTTGCCAAAGGGGTATGCGGAGCCTGCAAGAAGCCCATCGCCGGGCAGGTGACTGGGGGTAGAAGGCGGGAGGGGTAGGTGGGCTTGGGAGGCTTTGCCCCTCGACCTGGAACCACATTCCACCTCCCTCTCAGGTGGTGACCGCCATGGGGAAGACGTGGCACCCGGAGCACTTTGTCTGCACCCACTGCCAAGAGGAAATCGGCTCCCGGAACTTCTTTGAGCGGGACGGCCAGCCCTACTGTGAAAAGGATTACCACAACCTGTTCTCTCCGCGCTGCTACTACTGTAATGGGCCCATCCTGGATGTGAGTCCCAGTCTCCCTGTGAGAGTAGACCTGCTGTGGGCATGGATTCGGAACTACCTACCTTTCAGATAGTAGCCACATGCTTAACCACTGCACAACCAGGGCTCCTTACAGCTAGGATGCTGGGACTCAAACCCAGGCTTGAGCCCAGAGCTTGTCTTCGTGCATGTCGGGCAGCTCCCCACCTCCCTGCCACCTCCTATTCTGGATTTCCGTATTTGAGATACACGCCGTGGTGTTAGGGAAGTGCTTAGCCTATCTGAGCCTACGTTTCTTGCCCTATAAATGGAGATGACAGCGGAACCAATGATCTGGACCCCATGTAGGGAATAAAGGAGAGATGGCATGCCATTCCTTGAGAGATACAACTTCTGAGTGGGTTAACAGCATAGTTAGGAGGAGTGGTGTGGGGGCTGGGGGTGGCCTTTCCTGATTGTGAGCCAGGAGGATCAGCTTTGACCCCACACTCCCCTTTCACAGAAAGTTGTGACAGCCCTTGACCGGACGTGGCACCCTGAACACTTCTTCTGTGCGCAGTGTGGGGCCTTCTTTGGTCCTGAAGGTACTGACACTCCTGGGAAGGTTGTGGAGGTGACTTCATTGATGTGTGGGTCCCCTAACTCTGTTCGCCACCCCTGCCCCCAGGGTTCCATGAGAAAGACGGCAAGGCCTACTGTCGGAGGGATTACTTTGACATGTTTGCACCCAAGTGTGGCGGCTGTGCCCGGGCCATCCTGGAGAACTACATCTCGGCCCTCAGCACCCTATGGCACCCTGAGTGCTTTGTGTGCCGGGTAAGGAACCCCCACGGCAGCAGGGACCCCAGTGTGTACTCTGAATCAAGCTGCGAGTGTGGCTGTCTTGTAGGCATTGGTGGGAAAGCAGGCTGGGGGTAAGATTCTTCAGCTCCACTAGGTCCTCCGCTCACATGTCCGTCGTGTGGATTCCAGTGCATAGCAACCCTCTAGGACTTGCTCCCTAGGGTTTCCAAGGTCCACGAGATGATATTTAGGATTCCATACAGGCTCTCTGATTAAATACACTTGGGAAACACTTCAGTGCAGCACTTCGCAAAGCGCTTACACCCAAATGTACATGTGAGTCTCCAAGTGTAGGAGGTAGGGTGCAGAGGTTGGCCCCAGAACCCCTTTCCAGCTCTGGCCTCAGTTCACTGTTTACTCTAGGCTGGGTGACTGTGGAGAAGTCATCTGATTTCTCGGCCTCCCTCACGGCCTCTGCTGGGAGAATGAAATGACTCCAGGAAGTGCTTAGCTAGGGGGCATCATAATGAGTGTGAGGTAGGGAACTGCCCACTGAGCCCCTCTCTGATGGCAGGAGTGCTTCACGCCCTTCGTCAACGGCAGCTTCTTCGAGCATGATGGGCAACCCTACTGCGAGGTGCATTACCACGAGCGGCGCGGCTCACTCTGTTCCGGCTGCCAGAAGCCCATCACCGGCCGCTGCATCACCGCCATGGCCAAGAAGTTCCACCCCGAGCACTTCGTGTGTGCCTTCTGCCTCAAGCAGCTCAACAAGGGCACCTTCAAGGAGCAGAACGACAAACCTTACTGTCAGAACTGCTTCCTCAAGCTCTTCTGCTAGGCCCCTCCTGCCTCCTCTGCCCTTGCCCAGCCCAGCCCCCAACTGCTACTGTGACCCAGAGACCCAGCCGCAGCGTGAAGGGGCTGAGCCACGGGAAACTGGAGCTGGTGCAGGAGGAGCAGGGGGAGGGGGGGCAGGGGGGGCCTTTTCTGAGGATCCTACCTGCTGTCCTTCACCCTGGCCTCTCTGGCCCCCTTCCTCCACCTTCAGCTCTGGTCCAGCTGGGGTCATCCCACTGGCTGGAGGCCCCCACCCCGTACCCTGTGTGTCCCCCCAAAACTGGCCTGGCAAGCCAGCACCCCACACTGGAGCCATCTCTTACTCATATTTTGGCAGCGGAGCATGGCAAGGGCAGGGTCTGATAGTGGTCTCTTTTTATCCTTTACTCCCTCAGACCTAAATATCCCTGTTCTGAAAGTATTGGGGACACCCAGCTCCCTCCAGACAATGCCAGCATCAATCCATCCATCCATCCACTGGAGGAACATTGGAGGGACCATGGAAGGTCCCTTGTCCTCCACCTGTCCTGCCAGTCTCCCCGGACCTGGGTGACTGCCCCACCGCCACCATGTATACCCGTATGTCCCCTTTTTTAACTGCTCTGGTTCTACTGAGAAAGACCCCTCCAGCAATAATGTTTTCTAGTCACTTCCTCCTTCTCCGGGACGGGCTGAGGTGGGAAGCATCACTCCGTGCCTGGACACTGGGCCGACTTTGATAGGTTTCTACACTGAGGTTTGAATTCATATTGTCCGAGTTGCTTTTACTTCTCTATACAAAATGACTTTGCAGAGATTTTAAAGACATCCCCTTTTGTATTCTCCTTGCCCTCCACCAGGGTTAGGTCCTGCTTTGTACTGAGAGCTTGGGGCAGGTAGACCATTTGTATTTGATTTGTTTTCGTAGCACAAGCAGGTGAATTGGGAGCAGCTCCTTGACTCCCCTTCTTTCACGTCACACCTGGACTGTTTAATAAACTGCTGTATCTCGAAACACCTTCCTACTGTCCCTGCCAGCAGGCTTGTCATTCAAACTGGTCAGAGACTGGCTTGCCCTTTGGGTTTAGAATTCAGAACCCCGTTTGTCCTGTTTGTTCCTGGGGGAGATCAGGGGAGGAGGGAGGTACACTTGTGGTGTGCTTTCTCCTGTCTAAGCCATTAGGAGCTGCTGCACCCTTGGGAACTTTCTAGCAAGAACCCAAAGGAATGTTCTCAACCTCCTTGCGCTCCTTGGGGGCCGCTCCTCTGCCTTCTCAGGAATGCTGGGATCTGAGTTTGACCACAAAGGCCTGTCTGGTTTTTGTTGGGTCCATGGGGTCCGTCACATCCTACGTACCCTGCCCACCCAGGGGACTTTTTAGGGGGGGTCAACTCCAGGAGGTCTTGTTGCAAAGGCACTGCTAGGACCCAGGACAGAGGAATCGGATCCTGGGCTAATAGGATGGAACATGAGCAGGTCAGCCCTGGGGCCTCTGGTCAGCAAGACAGGGGTCCCAGAGGCCTCACAGCAGAGGCTGAGTGCCTGGGGCTCTCAGAAGGGAGCCCTTCTCCCAGCAGTCCCCGCTGTGGGAAGGTCAGCTGTCTTCACCTCCACCCATAGGCCTTATTGCTCTGTTTACAGTGATTCCCCCTGGGCCTGGGGCATCTGGGGTCCACCCTCTGGGTCCATGGTTATTTGGTGATTTTCTTTTATTTTCTTTCCTATCAACTTCTAACCTGGCTTTCCCCCATTTCAATCCCTGTGATTTCTGCCAATAAAATTTGCCATTATTTTCACCTGTGCATCTTCTGCGTGGTCTTGAGGTAACAGAGATGCCCTCCCCAGACTCAGTGAAAACCAGCCAACCCAAACCTACTGCCACTGAGTGAATTACAGCTTGTTACGACCCTATAGGATAGAGTTGTTGCTGTTGTTAAGTGCCGTCGAGTCAGTTCCGACCCATAGCGACCCTGTACCGGGTTTCCAAGGCTGTAAATCTTTACGGGAGCAGAACGCCTCATCTTTCTCCCGCGGAGCGGCTGATAGTTTCGAACTGCTGGACTTATGGTTTGCAGCCCGATTCGTAACCACTGTGCTACCAGAGCTCCTTATAGGATAGAGTAGTACTGCCCTTTAAGGGTTTCTGAGACGAAATCTTAACGGGAACAGACAAGCTTGATCTTTCTCCTAAGCAGTGACTGGTGGGCTTGAACTGTGGATCTGGCAGTTACAGCCCAACACATGTCCTACCACGCTCATTCCCAGACTTACAAGAGTTGCCAATTTGGGGGTGAACCATAAATATTCCCTCGGGGGAAAAGCACAAAAGGTGCCTGTGGCCCCTGTCTGTGGTGGTGGGACTTAGCTGGCTTTCCTCTTGAGCTTTGCTCTGCACTTGAGGGCTGGGGAGGTGTTTAGATATTAACACTTATTTACAGGTCTGGGAAGAGGTTCACAGAATGCACCCCCTTATGCACTACCACCACGTTGTTCCTGGGTTCAACCAGAAACCACCACCCTCAGACTAGCACAAGACAGTGGGTGCGTCTGAACCTTCCCTCCTGAAGGAGGGGGACTCACTGTGGAGGACAGCACTCTATCGCCCCCACGTGGTCAGGTCCATATTTTTATGCTGCTGCTTTGCTCTGGCCAAAAGCCCGAAGAACCCTTGGGGCCCAGGAGCTGTTATCTTCCAGCTCTGCTTTGTTTCATGTGGGCTGTGAGGTAGGTACACTTTGCCTGTCTGCAAGGGATCCTACAAGCAGCATGCTCAGTTCACTCCAAATTTCAAAAGTTTCACAATGAGTCCTAAACTTGAACTCATGGAAAGAGAACTACTTAATTTATTCTTCTAATGCAAGTTCAGTTCAGTTCAGTTCCAGAAGTGCATATAGGGGACACTGCACTGTAACTTGCTTTTTTGAGTCAACTGTACTTTGTAAGGAATGCTAGTGTGGCGCTTTAGGATAAGCAGGGGACTGCAAATTAAAAGGTCGGTGGTTCAAACCCACAGCCGCTCTTTGGAAATCCTTTATAGGGTTTCTATTGGAACCTACTCAAGGGCATTTATACAACAGCATACTGTGTGGATAATTTTCCTTGTCAATAAAGCTAGATCTGCATCAACTTAATGGCATGATGTCCTATAATTAGAATTCATATCATTAGAGTCAGGATGAGTGTATATTTGGAAAAGTGAGTTTTGAGGGAGATCGCCACAGGGTTGGGAGGGACAGGATAGCATAGTGTGGCTTTGGGGCTTTTAACTTGCTTCTGGATTTCAGGTCCATGGAAACCATCATTGATTAGTTGAGGGACTTGGGTCATTTATTTCACTTCTCTGTGTTAATTCTTCCATCAGTACAATGGGGAGCTCTGGTAGTGTAGTGGTTACGAATCGGGCTGCTAACCTCAAGGTCGGCAGTTCGAAACTACCAGCCGTTCTGAGGGAGAAAGATGAGGGTTTCTGCTCTCATAAAGATTTACTGCCTCGGAAACCCTGTACAGGGTCACTATGAGTCAGACTGACTCCATGGTACTTAACAACAACAACAATGGGGATACTGATACCTTTGAGGATTGTTACAAAGATGAATGGAGGTTATATGCACAAAGCACTTCAACTCTGTGCAACATTGAGCATGCAATGATACATTGTCATTCAAAAGGAATCCTAGCAGTAATCCACTCTTAACATTTCTCAAACTGGGCTATCAGCACATGGTTGCTATCTGCTGGGGAGTCAGAACAAAATACTGCCTGGCACTGTGTTATCCCCATGGTCTGTTGGAGATCAAGTGTTGTGGTCCATAGGGTTTTTCTTGAAGCAGATTGCCAGGCCTTTCTTCCTAGTCTATTTTAATCTTGAAGCTCCCTTGAGACTTGTTCAGCATGAGGGCAACACACAAGCCTCCTCTGACAGATGCTGGCTGCACACGAGGTGCATGGGCTGGGAATCAAACCCCACATAGAAGATGAGACTTCTACCATTGAATTGCCCGCCCCTCCCCCAAAAAACAAACCTGGGCCACTGTGGTTAGTTGCAATTGAGTGGAATGGATTCCAAATGACAGGGTCCCCATGTGTGCAGGTCAGAATTGCTCCATAGGGTTTTCAAGGCTGTGTGACCTTTCAAAAGTGGATCGTCTTCTGAAGTGCCTGTTGTTGTTATGGTTTCTAAGTGCCGTAAAGTGTCATGGAGTCGGTTTCGATTCATAGCAACCTTGTATGTTTTGGATTGAAACTGACCTTGCAGTTAATAGTCCAATGCTTATCCTACAGTGCCACACCAGGATCCCTGAGGTGCCTGTGGATGGGTTCAAACAGCCAACCTTTGAGCTGGTAGCTGAGTGCTCATGGGACACTCTCTGATCCAGTAGGTCCAGAGTTGGGCCTGGAAATTTGTATTTCCATGAGGAAACTAGTGAAAATAACAAGTACCTGGTGTGGTGCTGTAGGATAAGCACTCAACTATAAGGTCGGTTTGAACTGCAAAGTCAGTGGTTCAAACTCACCAGCTGCTCCTCGGAAACCCTATACAGGGTCACTATGAGTCAGAACTGGCTCAACGGCACTTAACAACAACAACAACAACTGTAACAGAGTCCTGGTGTAGCATTGTGGGTTAATGAGCTGGACTGCAAGGTCGGTTTGAACCACCAGGTCAACAGTTCAAGCTCACTAGCCGCTCCTCAGAAACCCTATACAGGGTGGCTATGAGTGGAAACTGATTCGATGGCACTTGACAACAACAAAATGATCTTAAACAGGTTTGAGAACAGTTCCTTCTAACAGTGGCTTGAAAAGATGGTTTCATAAGTATCTGTATGAAATGGATCCCAGCTCATGGCCACCTCGTGTGTACAAACTGCCAGAAACAAACTTGGAAAGTCTTTCAAGATGGGGAAGTGGCAAGTCCTGGTTTTATAAACATGAGGCGTACCAGGTTTGATGTGTACTTCATCCTCTCACATTTCTCACCCAATCTTTATCCTGAGCTGACAAGCACATCCCCACCTCCT